GATAATATGTCTATTTATTTTTATGATATTACCAACACACCGTAAGAAATATGTTTTAAACTGGTTGTATTACAAAAAACAAAATATAATATAGGTAACCCTATTTATTATTGTAATGCCTAATTTATTTAAGTATTCTATTAACAATAGTTGGTACAGAAACAGAAACCTTTTATTCAATTTAGATTATAAATAATACTTATTGAAAGTCACTTTTTTAATTCACCACTGGTTTGAAAAAAACCTCTGTCTTGAAGAGAACTAGCAAAATACCCAGTGAGTCTTTTAAAAAAAAGCCAGCTTACAATCATGTATGTCATAATTAACAACCTAGAACAAATTCTAAATAGCTTGGTAGCGATCACCTTACCCACGGGTTATTGTCATCCATAAATTCCTTTATACTATAATAACCCCTTTTATATAAACTTAGTTAAAAAATTTTTTGAACTTTCATGATTGACTGACATATATAGACAGGAGCGGTGTTAAGAATTTGTTTTAATATGTTTTGGTTAATTAGTAAGTAGTATACATCATAATAAAATGTATATTTATTTGAAATTAATTAAAAAATAAAACAATGTATACAAATAAAATTTTTTTTTTTTTTTTATATATATATATATATATATATATATATATATATATATATATATATATATATATAATTTGTGCATGTAATCTAATGATTTCTTAAATTTACGCGAACACTACACATTAAATAAATCTATATGTACGGATTTTATCGCGTTTAATGATGAAGAGATGTTTGACGTCTCAATGTCATATTTAGCTCGGCTACCTTCAGTTTTTGAATATTGATTTTTGGATCTACATGGTCGGGATGATCTATATAGAACGAGCTCACAATATCTTGAACTCTTGTTTTGTGTGAAGCATTGTTTGAGTAATACTGCATATTCTTCAGGCATGTTGTTATCTTCTAGTTTCCTAGTTACAATTGAGATGCAGTCTTCAATAGGTAGGCATGTAAATAGTGACTGAACACCAAAACTGACCATAGTTTCATTGTCAGCGAGTTGTGGGTCTTTTATCTCACTAACAAAATGGTGTGAATCCTTTGTGTGTGATCTGGTATGTCCTCTCGGTGGTGACAGTATTTTTGCCAAGTGCTGTACCTAAAAGTAGCATTATTAATTAATAAACCATACGTTACGTGTTTCAAATTTAGATGTACTTAATAATAATAAGATATTACTGAAGTTCATGTAATAACATTATAACTTTCACTTGTTTTACGATTTATAAATCCGTTAAAAATAGTTTAATTTCAACTTGTAACATTCGCCTAAATATTAGAATATCACGTTTCAATCAACCACTTAATGCTATCACTTATTGTGTAATTTACATTGGTACTATACTTTAAAAAAATGTAAAAGTCCATACTAAAACTGGCAAGTATAGAGATGGTATAGCGGAATCCAACTGCCTTCTACAGTTTTTATATATGAAGATTGTCTTCTGTGAAGTGTCTTGAGCATAGCACACTATTTTTGGTGGGAAACCTTGGTCCCCTCGACAAGTAGCGTCGATCCACATCTTTTTCCTTTCGGGGCATTTAGGAAACCTATAACATATAGGTATTACAATGATACACCACAATGTTTATAAAAGAATGACTTTAAAAAATGTAAATGATGACCAAACAAATATCTACTTATAAATCACAACACTATCGATACACGTGCTGTCGTTAGACAAAGACAACTACTGTAATTTACGTAATGAGTGAAAGGGGCATCTTAAAAAGACATCAACGGGTGCTTAATTGTTATCACTTTGCACCTTAGGTTACCAGTATAAGTTGATCCAGTGCATTTGAAATAGGTTAAAGTGATAAGAATAGAATTTAATTACCGATGAAATGTTATGCCATTTTTTTGATAACTGAATGTCTAAGCTAACTTTCCACACTATTTTACTGCACAGGAAGTTATTTGTAATGTATTTTGGATACAGGACTATTTTAAATTGTCAAGAACACGGACGTGCCTATGGGTCACAAAATTGGTCGATACTGATATCGTGATTCTTGGCGTTACTTCGTATGCTAGCTACAGCAAGCATGTGTTGCGCGCGTTTGTGGCCCTGTATGCGGAATCTATTAGGAGGTTATCTGTGGAATAATACCAGAATAAATTTAAAACGGATAATTTAAAACACAAGATTTATCAGTTTCTTCGTATTTGTTGTTACTGCTTATTTCTATAGACACAGTTATAAAAATTTAAGATTAAAAATAAATTTATCAATTCATTAATATTTCAATCACTTTCAGTACAACTAGTAGAGACGTCGTTGTTTATATTAATTATTATTTGATTTTCAATAACGCAGTCAAAATTAATGTCTCTTTCAAAGTCATCCATAATCATTTTTTTTTGTTTTTTCTACCACTTTTGCCCAATCATGCTTTTTGACATGGGCACATGCTTCAACGAATATTTTTTTTATAGCATTGGGTGACAAACGAGCACACAGTCCACTTGATAGTAAGTGGATGCTATGGCCCATAGACATACATATTTATCCTCAATTAATAATCAGAATGCAAATGCGTTGTCACCCCTGAGGACTAAGATGGAATGCCTCGATTCCAGTAAAAAGGGTCTCCGGTTCTCTACACTCATCATACGAAACACAGCAGCATTACGCTGCTATTTTACGCTGGTGTTCTGTTAGAACGTGGTCCTGCTTCAGTTGAGCCGACACATTCGTGCTACAACTATAATATAGATGTAGCGTGGCTCTACCACGTACGAAAAGTTATTATAGAGGAAACAGTCCAAAAAGTTAAAGCTGAGTCACAAAATTACGCATGACAGCTCTCGAAACAGAAACAGAAACTTTTTTATTCAATATAGATTATGAATAATACTTATTGAAAGTCACTTTTTCATTTACCACAGGTTCGTAAAAGAAACTCTTTCCTGGGAAGAACCAGCAAAAAACCCCACGGCACTAGTTTTTTTTTTTTAAATGAGAGCTTACAATCATGCGTGTTACGTAATTATGCGTGTTCCCTTCCCGGGGGTTATTACCATCCATAAATTCCTTAATATTAAAATAACCCTTTCTATACAAACTTAGTTTAATAAAGTTTTTGAACTTGTGTACTTACGTCAAATTTTGTATATTTTCTGGGATTTTGTTTAAACCTATACATCGCCCCAAGAACCAAGAATGAATTACTGACTGTAGAGTCGAGTAACTGGTACCGAAATGGCGGGATATTGAAATTATGTAGTTGTTATTTTAGCACGGCCGTGTATATGAGTTTTTTTTTCCTACACAAAACTTTGACAAAGTAAAAAAAAACTTGTTTTATTCATGATTCATGTAATTTAAGGAATTTTGTAAATAAAAATTAAATTAAACAAATAATTCATTAAAAAAATTAATGATTCGATTATTTGAAAATTTTTACCGATTATTTGAATATTTTGCCGATTATTCGTATAACAATGAATTTTAATCATCCGAACACTACGGTAATATACATAGCGATATATCATTGAAACGACGTCAAGTAAAAAAGTTAATACTGGTTATTTCTTAATATCTTGCTTTGTTTGAAAAAAATCAATTTTAAATTAGTTATAAAAAACTATAAACAATGTAATGAAATATAGATAACTTCATAATTCTTCGGATTTACGTGAAAGGTTATTTTAAATCGTGTGAGTACGCTGGTGAAAAGTTATTACGGAATGATTCATGTGAAACGTCAAAAGGTATTTCTTAGATTTGGTTGACTATAAATATTACATTACCTTAGCCAATGATCTGAACACGAATGTGAAAAAAAACAACTAATTTTTTCACATTTCTTGATTCCGTTTAGGTTTTCAAAAAATCTTTATGTTATATATAATAATAAATTGTTATCTTTTTTGTATGTGATATTATTGCGTGTCGCTAAAATTTCTAGTGGGCCCAAAAATGATTGTCTCCTTTAAGAAATCACTTTGTTAAATTTTAATAAAATTTTGCTAGCAGCCTTTTTTCGTTTTTTTTTTTCATTTTTGTAGAATAAATTATTATATACGTTTGTCAAAGTAAATTTTCGTTTTATTTATAGTTTATATAACTATGTCTTTACATAGGTACACACCTCATAAGTACATTAATTATGACAATTAGATTTAATTAATTTTAAACATTAAATCTGAGCTGACAACATATTATTTATGCTCAGTGTTTTTTTTTACTCGTATTTTAGTTATTTGTCATTTGTTGTAACGTAAAGCTGGAATTTTTTGACAACCATTGATACTTTGAGAGGAAAGTAAAGGAATGATTAGCAAATTTAATGCATAGGTACGTATTCGTGTGTATTATGTTTGTAAATATTATAACTACTTATAAAACTAAATGAGACTTAGCTGTTAAACAAAAAGACAGTGAGAGTCCTGCAACTGTAGGCATTTAACTCTCGCGCGTCGCGGGCGGCATCCTACTATTCTGTTTTTACTATGACGCTGGTTGACAATAGACACATCACAATCGTTGCGCGCATCACGCAGTGCGCCCGCACGACATAAGGCAAGGTGATAAATTCGCGAAATATCATCACCTAATCCACATGTCGCTCGCGCCGCACGAAGCTGAACTCCTGGTTTTCATTGCAATCTACTAGTCCAAGATACCAGGGCCGCCAGACGTCACGTATTTTCTGACGGATGAAATGTGGACGATTGAGTAGTGTTAGTATGTACTACGATCGTATGCCTACCTGCTAGCTTGGTCAAACGGCCAATTTCCAGGTATCAGGTGATCAAGGTACATAAAAACATTACTTACTTCACGTAAATTCTCGTGGCTGATTTTCATATATCGTCGGTCGAAAACAGTAGTGGAACATCTCTGAAAATTTGGTTTTTAACTTTTTTAAGAGTGTTACATTACTATTTCAGTGCCAATTCTATATCAGTATCAGAATAAGTCAAACTCCAGATAGAAGTCGATTAAAAATGAAAGTTCCGCTTCTACTCTGTGCATATAGTATTATTCAGTATTGGGACACTTCGAAATGTTCCAAAACGGTTCCAATCTCAAAATCAAAAGTTGAATTTATTCCACCACGCTTCTCGATCTCGCTCGAGTCTCGCGCGCGTTTGTTTAGTTACGCTTACGCGCTGCATGCTGCGCTTGGTAGACATATTGTCAAAAGTAATACAATCTGCAAAAATGTCTGTGTCTAAGTTATATGGAAGATCAATGAAAATATTGCAAATGGTAATCCATGAAGACGCCAATATTGAAAACAAAGGAGTGTATTTGTAACGTTTGTGTATTTTGTAGAGTCGTTACTTTTAAAATTTTGCACGCTTTAGCTATATTTTTAACCACTTTTATTCTACAAAAAGTGAGATAAAGCAAGTAGAAGAGTATTCTTTGCCACAAAATGAAGTACAAAGCCTAGGTAAATAACTTATGTATTTTATAAGATATGCTTATTTATTAACTTTTGTGCTTTATATCTAATAAATGTTATTAAAAATTCTGTCCTATTAACAGCTTTTATTGCTTTTAAGATGCTGAACAGACTTTGAACATAGAAAAATCTCCAGACACTATTTTTATATCTAATAATGATGAAGTTGGTGAAATACAGCAATATGTTGAAGAGAATTCTTGGCCCCTGAATGAAGTACATAATCGAAGTACGTACCTATCTTCATGTATTTAAGTACATAATAGAGGTACCTACGTACCTATCTGCATATATTATTTTTGTGTTTTGGTATAGTGTGTATATTTAACTGTTTGAATTTCTTTTAAGGTGTAGAGCAGGTAATAAATATGGAAAGTGTACAGACGATAAGGTTCGTAGCCAGCCAGCATGAGCCAGCAAATGAAGCTTCTAATCTAAGTATGATATTTTGTACTATTTTAATAAACTAGCTTGCTGCCCATCAACATGTATTTCATAGTTCTAAATTATTTATGCAATAGCTTTAAACGGGGTCTTTGTTTGCTTAGGCGGCGAGCTTATTTAAATTTTAGGGGGAGGAGAAGATAAAGAAAATAATATACAAAATAACAGAGAGCCGTCACCATCAACCCCGCTTTCTAAAAATAATGCTTCGGAAGAAAAGAAGAAGTTGACAAGAAAGAGACAACGAAATCCCGAGGCATGGAAGAAAAATAAAAATAAATGTTTAAAAAATTCAGGTATGGCTTACACTACTGAGAAAGGAAAATTAGTTAATGCTAAACAATTAAAACCTGGTTGTGGAGACAAATGTCGGTTGAAGTGTACACTGAAGATTAATGAGCAGCAAAGATTAAGTAATAATAAATAAGTAATATTCAATAATTTTTGGAAATTAGGTGATTTGAATGGACAGCGAGATTTTGTCAAAAATGCTATGAAAGAAGTAAAGCTGAAATATTCGCTACATAATGCTCAGAGTAAATTAAAGATCTATTAATGCGACTTATCATTTAACAGTAGATGGTATAATTATAAGGGTATGTAAAAAGTTCTTTATGCACACTTTGGATATTGGGCACTCATTTATAACGACGTTATGTAAGAAAACAACATCATCGGGTATAGTTTTAGAAGATTTAAGAGGTAAGCATGACAAGAAAGGTAAACTACTCGCATTACCTGACTTTGTTAAGGATGGAGTACGTGAACACATAAAATCATATCCTACTAAGGAATCACACTACTGTCGAGCATCATCGATTAAACAATATTTTGATGGTGATTTAAATCTATGTATGATGTACAGGCAATACAAAGAGTGATGTAATAAAGAAGGTAAGACTGAAGCTAAACAAGGAACGTATGAAAACATTTATAGAACTGAATTTAATATAGCTTTCCATGTACCAAAGAAGGATCAGTGCTCTCTTTGCTGTTCTTACAATAATGCAACAACAGAACAGAAACAAGAAATGGAAAAGAGTTATAAAGATCATCTTACAGAAAAAAGAGCTTTGCAGAGAAGAAAAGAGGATAGATATAGAAACATGCGAAAATGACAAACAAAAGATTATTTGTTGTTATGACATGCAAGCGGTTCTTCAAACTCCAGCGGGTAATGACTCGATATTTTTTACTTGGACACTTATCAACCTTACAGTACAATGAAATATTTCAATGTTCGGCATAAAATGCGGGGCAAGCCTAACGAAACCTTAGTTTTGACAAATAAATATCGCACTCGTCCTGAAATATCAAATCTTAAAAAAGAAAGAATTGATTTCATTATGTGATGGTAAAGTAATTCCAAACGTTTATTGGGATTATTATAAAACATTGCCAGCTTCCTCAGATAAAGCTGACAATGACTAATTGTTCCCTTTTTTATATTTTCTTACTTAAAAATAAAAAAATGTTATAAAACTATAAAAGTGTTTTATTGATTATTCTCTAAAAATGCAATTATTTGCTAAGGTTCTCTAAATTTTTAAGTCATTACTTAAGAAAAATACATAGTCTTTTAATTCAGTACTGGTACATTCAAAAATAATCCATTGTCAGAGGGATATTTGCAGTCAATAAATTAATTCAGTAGTGGAACATTTCAAATATTTACTTATACTTAAAAAAACAAATAATAAAAAATGATTGAATTTAATAGAAATCATAAATATAAGGTTTAACCAAAATATAACAACATTAAAAACAATATTTTTTTCTCTAAGCACTTGCTAAATGGAAAAATAAGTATTTCTAATTTTTAATTGCTCAATATCTCACATTTACTCATTTTGAAATGTTCCACTACTGTTTTCGACCGACGATATATTTTAGAATGTATAATTAAAAATAAGTTGTTAATACTCCCAGACGCTTTCCGTCGGCCATATTGCTTTGCAGATAAAATAATTAGATAACTTCACGTAAACTCTGATGCTCCATTTTTATATGCTTAAACTTCTGGTAAAAAAATTTACTTAGCTCAATGCTACTAGAAAATTACCTCGTAAATTATATTCGTCAGGCCCGAGTTGCGTTCCGAACGGAAATCCTGGGAATCCTCATATACGCCGATGGCGACCACTGAGGGGTTTTATTCTGCAGGAGTTTGATGTAACCTTTTCTTTACCCCCGCAACGGAAGGTATCAGTCACATAACCCATGAGGATTTTCCCACGATAAAAAGGTAACAATCATTAACTCACAGGGATTGAAATCATACATAAACGTGTGAGACGTCTGGGTCTGCGATCGCCAATCCGCCGTAATTATTTCAATCTATCATACTAGGCTGCGCTAAAAGTATCGGGAATGGAATATTTCCGCTGTTCCTGTCATATTAAAATCCTTTTAATTGAAAACTCCTTGGTTTTAAAAATCGAATACCATTTATTTATTTAAAAAAAGATTCTCGATCTTGTCACAAGGTTTTGTTAAACTTGTTTAGTCGTTGAGAAAATTGAATTGACTCGAGAAAATTCAAGAGCGATGATTTATTATGACTTTCAAAGTAGTTTAACACAAAAACAGTGCGTTGACCGGATGATTTCTGCATTTCGTGATGAAGCCCCATCCAAAACCATATTTTATCGCTGGTTTGCTAAATTTCAACGTGAACGTGTCAAGCTCAGTGATGATCCCCGTCAAGGTCGTCCAAAAACTGCAGTCACTCAAGAAAACGTTGATGCTGTGCGTAAGCTGATTGAGGAAGTTCGACATGTGACATACCGCGAAATTTAGGCAACTTTAGACATTGGCATGAGTCAAATACAAATAATCTCGCATGAACAATTAGGTGTAAAAAAGTTGTTTTCCCGATGGATACCGCATTCGCTCTGTGAAGAGCAAAAAGCGGCTCGCGTTACTTGGTGTGTCAGAACTCTGGAAAGATTCCACGCAGGCTCCTCAAATGCTATATACAACATCGTATCATGTGACGAATCCTGGATATACGCTTACGAACCCGAAACAAAAAAACCAGTCACGAGTTTGGGTGTTCGAAAATGAGTTAAAGCCAACAAAGATTGTTCGTTCACGGAGTGTTGCAAAAAAAATGGTGGCCACGTTTTTCTCCAAAACCGGCCATGTTACGACTATTCCTCTTGAGGGACAAAGAACGGTTAATGCAGAATGGTATTCCAGCATTTGTTTGTCACAGGTCGTTTCTGAACTCCGTAAAAAGAACTGCAACCGCCGCATCATCTCCATCACGACAATGCGAGTTCTCACACCGCACGCAGAACAAAAGAGTTTTTAGAGCAAGAAAACATAGAATTATTAGACCATCTGCCGTACAGCCCCGACGTAAGCCCTAATGATTTATATACTTTCCCTAAAATAAAGAATAAATTGCGTGGACAGAGATTTTCATCACCTGAAGAAGCTGTGGACGCCTACAAAACGGCCATTTTAGAGACCCCAACTTCCGAATGGAATGGTTGCTTCAATGATTGGTTCCATCGTATGGAAAAATGTGTCAAATTTCGCGGAGTAGACTTCGAAAAGCAATAAATACATTATTAAATAGTAATGTTGTGTCACATCCTTGATTCTCGAAATTTTCAGTGCCGCCCTCGTAGTTTATAATAATGTGTAATATAATTAAAGTAACAACAAGAGTAAGACGCCTCTCTTTACATATTTAACATCTTTCCAACATTACATGGCAACAATGCAAGCGCACCGCCGCGGCCTGCAAATTTGATGTTTATTAAAATATTGTTAATAAAATTAATTTGATTACAATTTATTAACAATACCGAACAAGATAACAAAATAACAATATGACTAATACGAGAACATAAACATAAACATAAACACTCACGCCTGTCACCCAGAGGGGTAGGCAGAGACTACAGACTTCCATTTGGCACGATCCTGACACACCTCTCTCGCCTCCTTCACATCCATACACCTACGCATGCATGCTCGTCGGTTAAGGGTACTCCCTAATTTGGCCCGTTTTCAATAAATCGCCAATTTGGTCGATAAATTTTCGCCTAGGACGTCCCTTTCCGACTCTGCCATTCACTTCTGCAACATAAATTTTCTTTGTCACTCTTTCCTCATCCATTCTTTCCACATGACCAAACCACCGAAGCATTCCTTTCTTAATCCTGGTCACAACATCATCTTGCAAACCACACTCTTCTCTTATTACACAATTTTTCACCCTGTCATTCAGATTCAGCCCTAACATACTCCTTAACGACCACATTTCTACTGCATTTATTCTACTCTCGTGCTTCTTCTGCCACACCCAACTTTCATTACCATACGTTAAAGTAGGGACCAACACAGCATTGTGAATTGCCATACGTGCCTTTTTCGACACATTTTGACTCTTCACAATAGAGTGCAGGGCTCCATTTACTCTGTTTCCTGTGTTCACTCGTCGTTCTATATCCTTATCATATCTCCCATCCCTGCTAAATACGCAACCCAAATATACAAACTCATCTACTTGCTCGATCAACTCCCCTTCTATTCTTATTTCACATATCGTTTTACTTTCATCTCTTTCAAAAACCATAATTTTTGTCTTACTTAATACGAGAAGAGGCCACAATAATAATTTTATAGAAGTTAACTGAAAAATTAAAAAGTACATTATATAGTATTGAAGAAATGGCAGATACATTTGGAAAGGAAAGAAGCATATTTACTTCAGCGAGCTTTATCTAGAATAATATGAAAATTGAGCCCAAAAAGAAAATAAGAAATTAAGAGGTACTTCGCACTTGTGTGATTTTTAATTCGAACCAAAACTTTTGAGATATTTATGTTGCTTCTGCTATTATATTGTTTTAAAGTTATGTATTAAATATAAGATTAAGTTGAAATTATCTGTTGGATACTTCGCGATTCATCTTATTTTTTACCATCGTTACTGTATCTAGGAAATAGTAATTATAATAAAGTTCCTTTTTGAGCACTTATGTGACATATTTGTATTAAGGCACAAGAGGATTTTATATTCACATTTATTCAGTTATTGTTTTGTATTATTTTTATTACTTTGTCCCCCAAAACTGAATGAAATCTACTATATTAGATACTATTTTTACGTACTTAATTATATCATGATTTGTCATTAATTGACTTTCATGTTTTGTATTTAAAACAACACCGAACATACATTTCGTTGTTTTTTTCTATAGTAAGTTTTATTTAAAAGTATATAATTTTAAAAAGAGTTCATAAAATTTGCTATTATTATAAGTTTTATTTTTTTTTATTTTCTAAAGGGAAAAGAATATACAACAACTTAAAGGCAAGGAAACTTAAAGTTATATATTAACCTACTTAAAATTCAAAATCGTTCTTTTCGATGTTTAAATTAATTAATGTTTTGTTATATAAACTTGA